GGCACACGTTACGGTCTCGTGAGCCAGAAGACGACGACGACGTTGGTTAGCCGGCCCAGTTGGATGTCTCAAAATTGACTTGATTTTCGCAATATTTCAGTTTTTTATGGGATTATTATCAAGATTGTGTCGGGTTATGGCTTCCTTTATACAATTATTTTACGAGGGTTCGATTTGTATTTTATGTCGCGATTTTATTTTAGGGAAAGAAATCCATTTCTTAGCTACGGCAGTTGGGAAGAAGGGAAGAGAAAGCGAAGTGAAAGCTAGACAAATTTTCAGGTTAAAAAATTCGTATAAATAACGATAAGAAGAAAACAAGCCGAGTTTTTGACGGGGTTTATTTTGGGATACACTTTTTAAAGGAGTATGCATACGTTATGAGGGTTTTCACGTTACCTTCGTAAACTGCAGTTAATAGCGTAAATTTGTGTCATTTACGAAATTTTCGTAAATGCGAATCTTCAGATATGTAAATAGGATTGACGCTTCCTTATCATTATTTTGCAAAAATATTTCATAGGAATTAGAAGTCAGGCTATTTAGATTTCCGAGCACCAAAGTTTCCGACATTTTGAGTAAAGACAATTGGAAATTAAAAAAAAATATTTTTATAAAATGTAAAGGTGTTTTTTTTAACTTCAATTTTGTATATCGTTTTCATTTTTTTTTGTAAATTACGAAAATGTTATTTACGAACGTCACTGCTAAAAATCTGGTGTAGTCACATAGATACTTCGTGCTGGTGTTGATTTGGTACTAATTTCCTACCGGAATGGTAGTAAGTTGTTTCTGAGTGGTAAATTTTTCATTACAACAAAATTACTGAACGGTAATTCCTGTTAATACCAAGTGCCGGTAGAGTCTACCGGCCGGAGTATGTACTCCGGTCGGTAATGATTTAATACCAGTTTTAAAATAATATACTAACGTCTTTGACGTTAACCTTTTTATACGCATGCACAATTACGAAGTTCGTGAAAACCTTCAATCAGCGATAGAAAATTTGTGTTTATTTTTTCATTCTTGCCAAATTATCTATGACATTTGAAAGCATTTGCAATTTAAAAATGTATCCAATAATGGAGGAGTTTTTTTTCCTTCTACAAATAATAAATATTCAATTAGTGTATTTTTAGATACACCGAGTAGAAAAATCTGCCAACTATGCAATAATCGAGAGAAAAGAGAGAGAGAGAGATGCGATAAACAAGAAAATTGCAATTCGGGAGAAAGTCGCAATTAGAGAAACCTCGTCATCGAGAGAGAAAGAGAGAGGGGAAAACAGTGGCCGCGGAAGCTGTGGGGACATCTGGGGACATTAACATTGTAGGATAGGCGGAGGGACAGGTTTATTATAACATGGAGAGATGATGCGAACATTGAATAACCGCGGGAACATTGTCCCTCTGTCCCCACACTTCCGCGGCCGCGGAGAAAAGCGCAATATTTATGTACGAGAGGACACATTTTCTCGTTAATAACTCCTCTCCCATCCACTCCAATTACAATAATAAACTTTTCATTAGAAGCTTATGGGGGGCAATTAATGTGATTAAATGGTCCTTTTACCTGCACGAAAGGTATTCGTGCCTATACTTTTGGCTCGTTAATATTTGGTAGGTCGACCATAAACAAGGGGTTTTGATGCATGAACAAGGGGAGAAAATGAGACAGTTTAAATAGAGGATTATTTTTTGTGGATATGATACAATTACTTATTCCCAAACGTATCGACACAATGTTAAAAGTATGCTTTACGCTAGACTTTGTCGAACAAATGGCGGCGAACTTTGCAATGTTTCAAATATGCAAATAACCACGTGCAATAAATAAGGGGAAGAAAATGGTTTCTTGCAGGTGAATATTTTGACCTGGGAGAAATGCAAGGCGCTAGAAACTGCGCCGCGCCGCCATAAATACTTCATACCGCACGTGGCTAGATGGCGCATATTTCTCCCACTTTTTTGCACCTCGCATTTCTTGCGTAGCTTGTTTTCCAGTGCAAGAAATGTGGGCAAACTGAAACGAAATACTGCTTATCTCATCTAGTTTTGAATAGTTTGACCGATAGCTCCATGAGTTTTACACGTTTCCGGGGGTGGATAAACCGTCATTTTACCAGATCGGGCATCACGTTTAATGCAAAATTTGGATGGGATCAACTTATGCACCACAATTTCCTGATAACCTTTAAAAATTATTGGGAATCGAGCCAATTGTTTTTTCTAGACATCTTAATAATCTCTTCAGTGAAAGTAATAAATAGTGAAGATTTGTTGTAAAGCGTGACTCGGATAAAAAAATTGTGCCCTCTTTGTTTCTAAACTTTGACGTGTATTTCCTCTCCAAAATTCGGGAAAGTACAACTTCCCCCGCTTATCTGTCTGCTTTCCCCAGCGATAAAACAAGTCGGCGTGGTGGTGGGGGATAAGTATTATTAGGCAGTGGTCTGGTGGCCCCCGGATAAATTGGAAGTTCGGCATGAGTTCTTCCCAAAATTGAAATGTAGAACGTGCTAGTGGAGAAAGTTTTTGTAAGTTGGCTGCTCGCACCATGTCGGAGATTCAGGAGGAGGACGACCACTACGATCAGAATTGCACTGGAGAATTGAGGTGTGGATTTGGATGGTGAGAGGAAATCAGTGTTTCGCTTCTTTAAAAGTTGAATATATTTCATGCAGGGCAAAAAAAAGTAGAAGAGATGCGAGGTGCAAGAAACTGAAACTTTCTTGCAATAAAGTGTAAAAAACTGCAATAAGGTGCAAGAAATATGCACCACTTGGCCACGCGCCGTATGAAATATAGCGACGGGAAGGAATATCTAGCGAAATGCATTTCTTGCAGGTCAAAATAGCTGCACGAAACTTCTTTTTCGTGGTTATTTCTTGCAATAGGTAACTTTTTATTGTTTCGTTTTTTGCAGGTTTGTCACATTTCTTGCTTTGCACTGCAAAGGTACACGAAAATGCACGAAATGCGAAGTGCACGAACCTGCATTTCTTGCACTTGCACCAAGCATTTCTAACTTTAAATGTACGAAATGTAGCAAATGTGCACGAAAATGCAAGAAATGAAAGGTGCCAGGAACTGGGAGAAAGTGCAAGAAATATGCCCATCTAGCCACGTGCCATACGAATTAAAGCTGCGGGACGTAGTTTCTTTCACCTTGCATTTCTCCCAGGTCAAAATATTCACCTGTAAAAAAACACTTTCTTCTTCCCCTTATTTCTTGCACCTGGCTACTTTCACCCGAAACACTGCGTAAGAAATCCAGAAATCCAGCCTGATACCTGATGGTCCCTTCCTAACTAATTGTGCTAGTAATGCAGACATCTGGCGCGATGCGGTCCGGATGTGAAAGTAAAAACAAAAATGCCTTCACCAGACTTTCTCTCGAAGTAAAAGTGAATGAGTGAGTGAGAAAGTAGAATAAAACTAATGAGACTGCCGGCTCATTTTTTGTCACCTGGCGCTCTTCCTCCTCGTAAGAATTAATTTGGTAAAAGTTTCCAAAATTATGGAAAAGAGAAAGTTGTTTGATGACGCAGCACAGGAATTAGTTTCAAGGATGAAATTAAATTCGTAAAAGCTGATTAGTACACGGTTAAAAATCTGGTAATAGCGTCTTACCGGACTGGTAGTAGTTTGCTTGGTAAATTTTTCATTAGATTGCTAAAGTATAATTCCCGTTTTTACCCGTGCCGGTAAAATGAAATATATCTTTCGAAGTGGGGATTGATTTGGTAAAACTTTCCTACAGGCTTGGTAGTAATTTGTTTCTTCTCCGTAGTAAGTTTTTTATTACCATGACATTACTAAACGGTAATACCCGTTATTACCAGTGCTGGTAGAGTCATATACCTATGCACTCCCGACAGTAAGGATTTCATACCAGTTTTCTAAGAGTGTAGAGTCACATATATAGTCCGTTTGATAATACTTTTCTACCGGATTGGTAGCAGTTTGTTTCTTACCAACAAATTTTTCATAAACACAAAATTACTAAACCGTAATGCCCTTTATTACCGGTGCCGGTAGAGTCGCATGATACTTATATACTCCGATCGGTAATGATTTAATACCAGTTTTCTAAGAGTGCTTGAAATTAAATTCGTCAAATTTTACTACTACCTGAGACAGGTAGAGACAGCAGAGGTTTCATTCGATATCAATTTATTGCATCGATGATAACAAAGTTAATTTATTTGTTGAAACAAACCACCAAGTTCCGTGCCAAGTTTGAGACTCAGCAATTTTGCGAGAGTAGGGCGGAATGAGAATAATAATAAGAAAAGAAGACATGCTGGCAGGATTTGTAAAGGAGAAGGTTGGACATAGGAATACGACAGTAGTGGCCTTCGCTGGGATAAGGATTACTGCACGTAGAATTTAGAGAGAAGGCGCATTAGTGGAGAAAGTGGGAGAGAAAGGCTACAACTCATAAATCATGATCGACGCTGGTACAAAAGCCACAAAATTCTCATATTCCTCGCCGCGACCCGAGGGTTGGATTTCTCCGCTTTCTCCTGGTCCTTCCTACACTTTGAGATCTTCTACTTTCTCCTTGAAAATCTGGGCTTTATTTATGTGCAGTACGTCAGAATAAATCCGTATCGTATTGAAAAACTATCAGATTTTTGTCTGCTATTAATTTTTGTTAATAAGTGTGCAGTTAAAAAGTGACAATTTTGTTAGTTTAGTTTCGACAAGAGTTAAGTGTGTTAAATCGCTTTCACATTTTTTAAAATTTTCACCGCTTAACGAAAAATCTGGTGAAAAATTCTCATATTAGTCACGAGTTGGATTTCGCCTGCTTTCTCTTTTATGCTTTATTCCGAATATTTCTACTTTATCTTGGAATCCATGCTTTATTTCGTGTTTTTTACAGAATTGCAGTATGTCAAATACTAATCTGGACTAAAAAACTATCAGGTTTTAGTTTTCTATAAATTCCTGTGGATAAGTATGCCGTGAAGAAAATGCAAATTTTGTGCTTACCTTTTCCACAAATTAAGTTTGTCCCATCACTTTCACATTTTATAATTTTTAAACCCTTAACCATTCCAAAAATCCGCCATAATTAGTTTCTCGTACCTTTGTAAGTCTGACGGTGGTCAAATGAATAGTCGAATTGCCACCATCCTTTACTCTAAACATGTACTGCACGAATTTGATTATTCCTGCTTTCACTTAAGATTCAGACCTTGTCCGCAAATTGAATTCTGTAAAGAAAACCACAACGCTTCGGTGGCATAATAAGAACGTCCACAAAAACAATAGGAGGGAGAATTCTCTTCCTGGTTTTGTTTTTTGGTCGAGTGTGAGTAAATTGTAAACTTAGTCGGCCCACTTGTCAACAAGATTAAATATTTATGGGGTCTCTTGTTAGAGGATCAAGTCCCGAGAGGGGGAAATTATCCGGCATTTTTTTTCTTGTTTTGTTTTCACGACACTGAACTCAACGAGGTTAGAGTGCTAATAGTTTTTTCTCCGGTTTGACGTTAAATAAATTCAGACAGGTCAAGAGAGCGTAGAGAAAGTTGGAAGGATGGTGATAATTTTTGTCTCATTTTCTCCCTGGTGAAAGTAGTTCAAGGGTTTTAAAAATTTGTAGTTTTTAGGGCTGCTTTCACCACTTTTTTACGAAAAGTGTCAACTTTCACCCTGTAAAGTTCAGTTTATCTCAACTTTCACCGTGTTTTTTAACAAATTACCCCGGTGAAATTTCTAGGGGCTATTTTTTGAGAAGTTTTTTAGTTTTCACGTCTCACGTTTCACCACGTTTTTTACGAAAAGTGTCAACTTTCACCCTGTAACTTGCCAAAGTTCAGTTAAATTAACTTTCACTGTGTTCTTTAGTAAATTACCCCGGTGAAATTGCAAGGAGTTATTTTTTGAGAAACGGTTTTTAGTTTTCACGTCTGCTTTCACCAACAAAAAGTGTCAACTTTCACCCTGTAATATGTATCAACTTTCACCGTGTGTTCAGTAACTTATTAAAGTTCAGGCAGAATTTCTCGAAGAACAAAGTGCTGTCCCAGCCAGCTAGAGATTTGTTGAGGGAAGCTTTCGCAAAGGGAGGACCTTCTCAGTCGGCATGAAAACAAGGACTGAACTCTTTGGAGGAGAAAGGAGAGAAAGTGAGTCAAATCTGGTAGGCCTGGTCGGGAAATGTCGGTTGCACTGGACTGGACTTGTTTGCCGGATCGTCGGTGTGGATGTGGATGTTCTACTTTGGGGAGAAGAGGCTGAGGCTGAAATGCTTTAGCAAAGAGAGAAAGCGGAATTTGAGAGAAACTGCAAGAAGTGAAATTGGATATCTCGTATCGCGTTACCTTACATTACTTTCTCTCTCTCATGACTAGCACACTTTCACTAAATGTTAGTATTATTGGGAGTGATCACATGGTACGTTTCTTATCTGGAGGGTGAGAGAAAAAGGTTTTTCGAAATTTGAAAAAAAATTTTGAGAGTGGAGAAAGCTAAGGGAGATAAGTTGCCTAAAAATTTACGTGTTCGAAAGGGAATATTTTAAAAATATCCAAATTTGGAAACGTGACGATTTAGAATATTGAATCTTATTTTTAGTGACTTGTACGACTTAAATTTTTGAGAATGAGAAAAGTAAGGGAAATAAAGTATTTAAAAATTGAGACGGGTTTAAAAAAACTGATATTTTTAAGAAATCAAGCTTTCACCTTGGAAATTTGATTGATGGGTTGCTTATTTTCCGCGAATTCCACTGAATATTTTTACTCTGCATGCGGAGAAATCCGTTTTTCGAATTTTTGAAAAGTATAGAGAATAAAACATTTAAAAATTCGGATGTTTTTAAAAAATCTGATATTTTTATTAAGAAATCTAGCTTTCACCTTGGAAATTTCACGCGTTGCTTATTTTCGCGACTTTTATGGCACCGATTAGATTACAGAATTTGCACTGGATTTAAGATGGGTTCGCAGGATTGAAATAGATTGAAAATTATGCACCGTGATAGTCTAATAAATAGATGCAGCGTGTAAACCACCCTCGCCATCGCCATCAAAATCATTACCACGGCCACCACCACCACCATCACGAGTTCAATGATGATGACGATGATGATACATAATCGACTCGCAGTACAAGACTCTCCAGGCGCCGTGAAATTAATCAGATTCAAATTGATGGCTGCTGTGCATAGTAATTGCTTATGTCCGGCTGCCTCTGCTCCCTAGCACCATATTTACCATTGACGGGTTTGATGTGATACAGGGTTCCGTTTCTTACAAGTTTGCCATCGTTCTTGCATTAAAAAGCATACCTGTTCACATTCATTCATTTAATTGATTATGATGGTGAATGAATGATAGTGAATGAAAATGAATTTCCTGTGATTTGAGTGAAAATGACGGAAGGATTTCGTCATTTCAGATGAGTGACTGTGAATGAAAAGATTTCTCACTCATTCCATTTTCACCCTATGCTTAATGTATAAGTAAAAAATAGTAAGAAATGAAGTCTGATGAAGTGAAATGAAATAAATTTGAAAGAAAATGATTGAATGTGAATGAAAATCTTCAGTCAGAAATCGGGATGACTGACTTTTGAATGAAAACTAAATTTTTGACAAGGTATGCTAAAAAGCATGAAATGCAAGAAATGACGGTGCAAGAAAGTGCAAGAAATTGCGCCATCACATTTTCCCCGTTATTTCATGCAGGTGATTACTTTCACCCGAAACACTGGATTATGAGAGGAGTGAAAAAATAGAGTTTGATCTTTATCCAGCAAGTGAAAGTTGCTGTGAGTGGTATCGCAGGCTAAAGGTAACTTGGGCTCAAAGTAAGTAAGTAAAATTGTACGCCACGAACGAAATGTGGATTTGCCCCACCGGTGAAAGTTGGTGATCATGTTACACACGCATAAGTAACTTTTCTCTTTCTAGATTCGATCCGATTCTCACAATTCCGTCCGAATTTTGGTACACTGTTAAAAATCGGGTAGAGTCAGATATATTTTCTGTACTGGTATTGATTTGGTAATAAATTTCTACCGGATTGGTAGTAGTTTGTTTCTCCGTGGTAAATTTTTTACTACTACATTACTAAACAGTAATGTACATTATTACCAGTGCCGGTAGAGTTGTATACATATCTACTCCTATCAGTCAGCAATGATTTAATACCAGTTTTCTAAGAGTGTGAGTCACATATATACCCCGTTCTGGTATTGATTTGGTACTAAATTCTTACCCTATTGGTAGTAGTTTGTCTCTGCTTGGATAAATTTTCCATTACCGCAACATTACACTGTTAGGAAACTGGTATTGAATTATTACGAATTATTACTGGATGGAGTACATATATTATTCTACCGGCATCGGTATTATCGATCGTTACGACGTAGTAATTAGGTAGTAATGAAATCTGTACCAGTCAGAATCAAACTATAATCAATCCGGTAAGGAATATTACCAAATAAATACCAGCACGGAGTAAATATGGGACTTTACCGGATGCTGTAGTGTACTAAACGGTATTCCCAGTGCCGATAGAGTCATGCACTCCGGTCAGTAATGATTTAATACCAGTTTTTTAAGAGTGCCTCGCATCGATGTCGATGGGGATGATGTGCTAACGAGACGAGAAAGTAGTGTAAAGTAAGGTGAAAGCAACCCGTGACTCGGACGGCGGATCGACAGTTTGAGGAGGAAGGCGAGTGATTTTCCGTATTGGAAATCGCAGCAGGGTTTCCGATCTATGACCAGACCACCTCCGATACTCCCTCCACTGCCCGCATTACTTCCTCGATGGGTGGTTTCGTTGCGTTTTCTTCGGACGACGGGCAGGCACCTTTCACTTCACGGGGAAAGGATTTATCCTAACAAACACGGCACCCTCATAAATATCCAATCTGCTTAATGTGAAAATTCAAATGGCGTTATTTTCAGGTGGGAGGAAGGAATTGTGTGGAGGTGGGTGTCTATTTTGAGAATATGTATTTGTGGTATATTTATTTGCACCAGTAGGACGCCGGGAATAGAATAAATACGTTTGGGAGAAATAAAATATGGGGAATATGTAGGTAAAAAATTTTTGATTTTTTTTTTTTTTTTTTTTTTTGTGAAAATTTTGTTTTTGAATTTTGAGATAGATAGATTGCGTTCCATAATGCAATGAAATGTCAGAAACCAAGACGGTTTTTTACCTATTTTTGAATTACCAATTTCCAGTTTTTAGGATTTTTAATACACAATGTTTGTAAAATGGAATGATATCCAAATTGGGCTTCCATTTTGAGAATGTTTGTGGTATTTTTTTTTTTCGTTTGTTTTTATTTTTGTAATTTTTTTGTACCAGTGGGACGCCTGGAAGGATAAATGTGGTTGGTAGAAATAAAATAGGGGGAATATATAGGTGGGAAATTTGCGAAGTTTTTTTGCAAATTTTTGGATAGATTTTGTTCCACAATGGAATGAAATGCTAAGAATTAAGCAGTTTTTCACCTATTTTTTAATTATGCGCAGTTTTGTAGATTTTTGTTTGTACGATATGTTTGCAAAATAGGGAGGATGTATAGGTAAATAAATTGAGTTTCTATTTTGAGAATATTTTTGCCATATTTTTTGCACTATGGGACGCCTAAAAGGGAATAAATGTGTTTGGGATAAATAAAATAGGGAGACTGTGTAGGTAGGAAATTCGTGAGAATTTTTGTTGCAAATTTTCGTATAGATAAATTATGTTCCAGAATGAAATGAAGTGTCAAAAACTAAAACGATTTTTTTATCAATTTTTGAATATGCCAAGTTTTTAAGTTTTGTATACGATATGTTTGTGAAGTAGGGAGGACTAACAAATTTTTTTGTATGCTATATTTAAAAAATTGAAAATAAGCAATTAACAAATTTTACAATTTTTTGCGAATTTTTATCACTTGCGATATTTTTTTTGTACGATATAAGAATTAGAGGATATATGTGCAGCAAATTTTGAAATTTCTCTGGAAATTTTTACACTAACGATTTTTGTCTTTTTTTACAATGATACGTCAAACAAATGCTTGACCTGCAAGTACGATATGAAAAAAGTATGTAGCAATTCTGTGTAGTTTCAACATTTTTTTGCGATTTATTTTACACTTGCTCCGCAATAAAACGTCAAAAAGTGACACTGACTGAGATATTTTGACGTTTTTCAGTTGTTCCCAAGATTTTTTACGGAAATATATTTGAGCATCGACAATGGGTTGAAGGAGACCTTGATATCTATCGAACATCATTTAACTTTCTGGGCTGCCAAGAAGCTGACCAGATCCGTGACGTTGACAAGTCACCCCGGGAGTAAATTGAGATCCGCTTTTCCGGCCTTTCTCCTTCATGGGCGGAATGATAATCCGAATTCCGATTGCCTACTGCACCGTTAGAAATCTGGTATGGTCAGGCAGCTATTGGTTGATCGGTATTAAAGGTGGTACCGCTTGGTATTAAAATTATACCGGTCCGTAAAAAATTCCGATCGATAAGGTAAAACTTATGGTAAACCCCGTAGCATATATTACTGCTTGGTGTTATGTTAATACTGGATTTGTACACTGTTGGAAATCTGGTATAGCTATGCAGCATTTGATTCCTCAGGGTTCAAGTTGCCACCACTTGGTAATAAAATTCTACCGGACGGTAAAAATTTTGCTATCGATATGGTATAAACCTTTAACACCGAGCTATTACTATAGGGTATCAACAACACTTTTGTAGTTGGAAAACTGGTATTAAATCATTACCGACCGGAGTATATATGTGACTCTATCGGTACTGGTATTAACGGGAATAACCGTTCGGTAATGTTGTGATAATGACAAATTTACCACTCAGGAACACGTTACTACCAATCGGGTAGGAGATTATTACCAAATCAATACCAGCACATGTTATTACAAGATTTTTAACGATGTAGAATCACACCTGAATATCTTCCTTGGTATTATTTTAACACCGGATTTCTAAGAGTGTGGTCAATGACAAGGATATTATTGGTCCACTTTCTCCTCAATCTCAACCTGAGACATAAGCTCGCTTCTTCTTCTTCTTCTTCGAGGAGAAAGCAGAAT